CAAAAACAGAGCACAGTAATGCTTTTACATTTATGTGTTTATTATTGCAAAAGCAAAAGTGAAGAGTGTTTCTATGACTTACTTTATGTTATCAGAATCAGCCACCGATTTATAGACTGTATAGAAAGAGTATCTCAAAAAATGCTACCTCATCCATAATATTAAGCTAATTAAGTATCCTATATCATAACTTAAGCATTACTTCTATTTCATTGGATTTATACCTCTTACGTTTAAAAAACAGAGTGAATTTTCTCTGATAAGACAGCAATTTATCATAATGGATGGAACAGTTAATAACTACCGCTTCCTAGAGTAACAAAATTCATGACAGCATGATAGGAGAATACTGTCATGAATGGAAATCTGTCCAAAACCTTCCTATTCAAAGTGCGGTACATGGACCCGTGGCATATACGTCACCTAGGAGCTTGTTAGAAGTGCAGACAGACTCCTCATCCTCTTGCTTCCCACCTACTGAATCAGAGCCTACATTTTGACCAGAAACCCCCATGTAATTTGTGTACAAGTTAAATTTGAAGTTGGTGACAGGATTGTTAGTTGTAAATTGCATTCACCTTTGATATGGAAAAAATGAAAACCCCATAAGTAGGGGTGACGTGTATAGTCTGAAAATATTGATAAATGAGAAAGGTTGAAAGTTCTATGAAATCTATGATAAGTTAGAAATGTTGGAAAAAATAAGATACAATTTATCTCAGAAAATGCAAACTAATAGGTATGCACAAAATATTCTGTAATGCATAGTATTTGGAGAAACTGAACACAGAAAGCATCATGATACCTGTGATGTGGGATGATAGGCCACAACCAGAAGTTAATCAGTAATAGATCACAGTGGTCACTCTTCCATGGCCAATTTCATTCCTTAGAGATTTTCTTAAGCATAGTTGAAGCTTGTGCACTTCTCACACAGTAACACTGTTTTCTAGAAAGATAAAGATAAACCAGAGGGTGTTTAGAGATGGGCTAGAAGATTGATTATGGCATAGGAAGAACTGATATATGAGGAGAGAGAAAAATAATTAAATGGGCAACACTATGGTATAAAAAGAGCTTATGGAGACACAGATATTTATCTAATGTCTCCTGTGCTGTTTCCTGTAGTATCTATATGAAAGATGCAGAACTGTAAGGATAAAAGAATGCCAAGAAGTTGGTTGTAGACCAAAGCAATATCAGCTAGAATGACTTGATTAAATTTAGGAGCAATAGCAAAGATTAAGTTTCAGAGATTTTTACCTGCTGCATAAGAAACGAACTTGAGCAGGATGACTTTATCCCTGAGAACTTTCTAAAACACTCCAGGCAAAGAGTGGAAACTTGTTTATCAAGTTGCTAAACAGTCTTTCCAGAAATAGTTGGAACCCCATCTCTTGAAAATTCCAAGATTAGGGTAGAGAAAACCTAGGAGGCTGCATGTGGGAACTCTCTCCCACTTCTGGCAGAGTCCTGAAGATTGATGAGTAACATTTTTTCATTCCACTCATTTCTTTTGCAATATCTTTGATTATTGCAAAGATTACCTTACATAGATAATTTTTTTTGTCAGGTTGGTATCTTATTTAGTTAAAAATGTTACCTTCTAGAAAAGCATCTAGAGCGTATCACTTGTCTGCCTTCCACCATGTCTGCCTTCTTGGCACTTAGCGACATTCTTTTTTCATTTCTCTCACTCTAACTCATTAAGAGATGCAATTCATGACATAGCAGGAGTGAATTCACTTCCACATTCACTTCATTCAGAAAATGAAAAAGACACACCCAAAACGCATCTTGCCTTTTGGAGCCTTTTTTCAAATAGATGAAGAAACTCTGGATGTCTGAAATCATCTAGCGCTTTAGAGAGTTTAGTGATTCTTTTCACTAGGATGAAACCCCAGTTTGTGTTTGTCAAGGAGTAGTGGTCTGAGAATACCACATTTCCTTTTCCCTTCTTCAGTACGCTTGCCCCAGATCCCCCAGTGAAATCTGTCATCTGAACAGGGAAGCCTAGAATCCTGATTCCATGGTTCAAGAAGGAAGTAAAGCATGATAAAACTGAAGCAGGATATTTTCCCTGACTGCATAGTGGGCAGGAACTGGAGCACGGACGATGGCTATTTCAACATCGGCAGGGGCAAAACCAAAACAGGCACGTGCTGCTGTTGGAGTGGGGATGGGGATGGCACCTCTAAGAACAGAAGGAAATCACATCATTCTGAATTGCTTATCTGATTGCTGGGCCAAAAGCTCATTATACTTGGTAACATTTCTACAGTCTGTAGCAAAACCCCTGCCATTATTAAAGAAGAGATAGGAGCCATTTCAAACTGTAAAGGAAGAAAGGAAAGATACCATAGAAAAGCCTGGGGGTGTCTTGGCCAACTGCCCATTACATCTGGGACTGGGTCCAGTCCAGGGGCCTTCCAGCAACACCAAGGAGGGGCTTTAGCCAGGTGCCTTCAGTTGCCCCAGGACTTTATTCTGGTTCCACGTGATGGCTAAACCTCCATGAAGGGAAATAGACCCAACATGCCTTTCACATGAAAGAAAGAGAGAGATGGCAGGGTTGCATCCCGTCCCATGCAAGGGGCATAACTCAGAGGAAAGTCTGAGGACAAGAAGAGACAGATCTACATTTTACTGACCCTTCTGATGTATCCTAGGCAGGCTCCCAGTTTCCCTGACCACTTAGCAGGCGGAAACTGGAATGCGGATGCTGGAGCTAGCTGGTGGCTTCAGCGCCAGCAGAGGTAAACTTCACTCACTTGAGCCTGCTGCGCCCAACCCCTGGTGGGAGGGAACATGCAGGTGAGTTGGTGCAGGACCTGGGGCAAGTGCTTTTAGGCACTGGCAGAAGCAAAACTTTGTGCAGACCCCACGGCAGCATCTAGTGGGGAGTGCAGGAGTATTACAGTCAGCCCTCTTTTAGCTTTGCCATCTGCGGATGGCTTAAATATTAACAGTTTAGTGGAGGGTCACCCTTTTGGCACCTGAGTTCTTGTTTGGTATTCAAGAGGAATGAAGTCACATGAATGAGTTGAAGATGGTAAATTTGGGGGACTTAATTGCCAATAAAAGTGGTTCTCAGGAGTAGGGGAGCTGGAAGGGAGATGAGATGGGAAGGTAATCTTCCCCTGAAGTCTGGCCATCCCTCACCAGACTCCCTTCTGAAGCTATGCTGTCAAGCCATTCTTCTGAAGTCAAGCTGCTTCTCTCTGACTGTAGTCTCTGACGTCTAGCTGCTGCTTCTCTTCTCAATGTTCAGCCACTTCTCCTCTCTGCTGGTTGGGTCAGAGGTTTTTATGGGTATGGGATGGGGATGGGGGTGGGGTTGGTCATGAGCGGTTCTGGAAAAGTCAACATTTGAGCATGAAAACAGGAATATATGTTCGTTCTTTGGGCTGTTGTGCCAGGCTTGAGAGTGGTGTCTTCACTGGGGACCTGCCTTCTTCTGCCTAGAATTCCCTGCCTCTTATCCCTATCAAAATTATTTAATCTATTTAATTGCTTCATTTTTTCCTGCTAATTCCTTCAGACCCACATTTACATTGTCTGGGAGATCTAGTTTAATGTAAGTGCTGCTAAGAATAATTCATATCAAATATGTTGACTGAGAAGTTACATACACTTCATTATGCTGGTGTGTGGGAAGGTTTGCCAAACTTAACTTTTAAGTCATACTAATTAAACTACTTTAGGCGCTCCATAAATGAATTGTGGTTTTTAGTTGATTTTTTTTTTTTTTTTTGAGAGAGAGTCTTGCTCTGTCACCCAGGCTGGAGTGCAGTGGCACAACGTCAGCTCACTGCCACCTTTGCCTCCCAGGTTCAAGCAATTCTCCTGCCCCAACCTCCCAAATAGCTGGGATTACAGGTGTCTGCCACCACGCCCAGCTACTTTTTTGTATTTTTAGTAGAGATGGATTTCACCATGTTGGCCAGGCCGGTCTCGAACTCCTGACCTTGTGATCCACCGGACTCGGCTTCCCAAAGTGCTGGGATTACAGGCGTGAGCCACCATGCCCAGCCCTGATGATTTTTTTTTTAATTAAAAGAAAATTAAAGGAAAATTTCTTAAAACTAAAGCAGGTACACTGTCATAAATAACAAAATTAAACAATAATTTTTATTATTTATGACAATGTACCTGCTTTAGTTTTAAGAAATTCTCATTGCTGATATCAAAGAGTTATAACTCCTTTCCTTCTTGAAAGAGATCTGAAGGGGGAAATAAAAAGGTTAGAATTATATTCAGCTATTATGTTAGTAACACAAAGATGATCTCCTCTGTATTTGGTTCTTGTGAAAATGACTCTAACAAATTGTCAGTATCTTACGTGTGCAAATAACAACTGTCTTCAAGGTAAAAATTAATTGAGAGAAAAAATTAATAAGTTACAAGCTTACTTTTTCTTTTCTTGCTTCCTGTTATACCTACTAAAGGGATGTGGGGTGGGAGGGGGAGTCTTTTTTCTTTCTAAATCATTCTAGTGTCATATTGATTTTCTCTCAGGTACACCCTGTGGTCTCAGATGATCGTATATTTTCTTATGTTACTCATTGATACAGCACCTTGGCTTATGGGTTGACATATATTACTTGAGCTAAGATGACACTGCCCACCATTGACATTTCCTGGGGGTGGGGTGTACTGAGCCTCTTATGCATGAAACATAAAGGAACAGGCAGTTTCACAACAGTATTTTCATTCTTTGAAAATCAATTATTGTTCACTTCAAATGATATCTTAAGCCCTCATCAGGGTTGCTTCACATTGTTTCTTACCCCTACAGCAATGTCTTGAGTTCTTTTGTGTCTTTGCTGATACAGAAAAAAAGTTACTCACCTGGGCATCAAAATATTCCAGTTACACTGTTTGTAAGAAAGTTTGTATTATTACCTACCTGGAAGAATACAGGTAACCTGCCTATATACTGTTGCGTTCTCTCTTTCTTTCTTTTGTGTCTCCTCTCATCTCACCTCCCTCTGTTTCAGCTAGCTGTGAGGTGGTTGGAACACAACTGCCACTACCAGTACATGGACGAGCTCCTGCAGTACATCCGCTTTGGCTTAATGGATGTGGATACTCTCCATACAGTTGCCCTGTCCCACCCTCTTGTCCAAGCAAGTGAGACTGCAACAGCCCTTGTCAATGAGGCCCTGGAATACCACCAGAGCATCTATGCACAGCCTGTCTGGCAGACTCGCAGGACCAAACCACGGTTCCAGTCAGACACTCTGTATATCATTGGTGGGAAAAAGCGTGAGGTCTGCAAGGTCAAGGAACTTCGGTACTTCAATCCCGTTGATCAGGAGAATGCTCTCATAGCTGCCATTGCCAACTGGAGTGAGCTGGCTCCCATGCCTGTGGGAAGGAGCCACCATTGTGTGGCAGTCATGGGGGACTTCCTGTTTGTGGCTGGAGGGGAAGTTGAGCATGCCAGTGGCCGGACGTGTGCTGTGAGGACTGCCTGTCGCTATGATCCCCGCAGTAATTCCTGGGCAGAGATAGCACCCATGAAAAACTGCCGGGAGCATTTTGTGCTGGGTGCTATGGAGGAATACCTCTATGCAGTTGGGGGCAGAAATGAACTGCGCCAGGTTCTGCCTACAGTTGAACGATACTGCCCCAAGAAGAACAAATGGACTTTTGTTCAGTCCTTTGACAGATCCCTTTCATGCCATGCTGGATATGTGGCTGATGGTCTTCTTTGGATATCAGGTAGAACATACCTCATGTTGGATTTATCAAAACACTCTTTCATTGTGCTATAAATTTAAAAGTCAAGATTTAATGTGGCCATGTGTAATTGAAAGCTTGAACCAAGCATGCCATTTTAGCTAATTAACATTCATTTATTGAGCACCTACTCTAGAGAGGAATGTAATTGGAAACAATGGGCCTTTCTGTGATTTTCTGAGTGATTAATGGAATAAAAATTCAAGGTGGAAATTGTTGGTCCATCACAACTGCTTTTTTCTACCAAACCTTCTCCTGTCAGCTCTTGATTATTCATGGATTGTATGGCACAGTTTGTGATTTATCTAGATCCTTTGCTGCTTCTTTCACTCCTGGCTGCCAGACTAGAGCCATTTGCATCAAAGGCAAGAGAAGTAAAAGCCCAGTTAATTCATTTTTCTGGGTACAGCAATAGGTATATATCCAAGTAATCACTAGAGGGAAAGGATTTAAGTTACTAAAACAAAGTTGTTGTTGTTGTTGTTTTGTTATGGTTTCAGATAGGGTCTTACTCTGTTACCCAGCTGGAGTGCCATGGTGCAATCTTGACTCACTGGAACCTCCACCTCTCAGGATCAAGTGATCCTCCCACCTCAGCCTCCCAGATAGCTGGGAATACAGGAGCACACCACCACACCCAGCTAATTTTTGTATTTTTTGTAGAGACAGGGTTTCACTATGTTGCTCGAGCTGCCGCCAAACTCCTGAGCTCAAACGATCCACCAGTTTCGGCCTCTCAAAGTGTTGGTATTATAGGCGTGAATCACTGCACCCAGCCTAAAACAATGTTTTGTTTTGTTTTTCTTTAATTATCTGTGAATGGTAGTTACTTGTGCCATCATAACCCTTCATTCTTATTTACTCATTTTGACTGATTATTTGAGGATATAGTTTGAGCTCTAATTTACCTTTTTGTCTCGTTTGAAAACCTTTTGATTGTGGAAAAAGTAGGGAGACGAGGACAATGAACCCCAGGTACCCATAATGTAGACTCGACAGTTACTTGCTCCTTGCCCATCTTGCTTTCTGTACACCCACAGACCCTTCACTCCCTTCCTAGTTGCCTTTTTCCTTACGCAGAAGGAGTCTGTGAGGCATATGCTGTCAACGTCACATTATTGACCTGTGTTTTCAATCTTATTTTTGAGAAAGGCCCTAAGTGTTCTCCTTCGAAAGGTTTTTGTATCAGGAAGAAAGCTGCAATTTCTCCCAGTTGGAAGATACTTGTATTGTAACCCAAATGGAACTTGTTGGATTTCTATCAACAATTTTTAGTAATCAAGCACTAAAAGGAATAGAAAGGGTCAAAACTTAAATATTAAAAATAACACTGGCATTTGTACTTAGAAGAAATCATTACTTTTAAGTACACCTGCAAAGGCGTATTAGCTTTCTTCAATAATCATCTCTAGTTTTTTAACACCTGCTCTGATAAAATTCTCCCTTACATTTGTTTAAACTAAGTTCATTTGGACTTTGACTGTTCTTCTGCTGTCCTCAATAAGCAGGAAGATAGTCATAGGCTCAGCTTCTCCGAGTGGTGCCTCAATTATTGGCAATTCACTGATTTTTATTGACAGAACCTAGCTCACATCAGGGTTTACGTGCTCAGTGAATTAATGAATGAAGTGAAGACTAAGGAAGCAGAAAGGGGAAGTGGACCCAACATTTGCTGGCTCTATACCAAAGAAACGTTAGAAACAAGTACGTATGTTAGTATATGTAGATATATTTAAATTAAAGCCTCAGTTATCTAATTATTGTTCCTTTCTCTTTAAATATATATTTCAACAATTAATGAGCACCAGGACTATATCCTTTTAGCTGTGCTAAAGAAATTTCAAGCTAGGCAGCAAATAAGTCTTTGCTAATAGAAGAAACAGATCTGTACTTGTCTTGGATTAGCAAAACAGCGACGGTTTATGAAATCAATGCCATTTACGTTTTCTCCCAATTGACATTCCTCCCAGTGACTCATTTAGTTTCATATATTATTAATGTACTGTATTCCTAAATTTTGCACTGCATTTTCTAAGTTTTGTGTGAATTTCTTATAAATATTTTAATAAATTTTCCTTGTCTTTTGGCTGTAAACCTAGCTTGTAAAAGAATGCTGGGGTTTCCCTTATATAGTCTTAAAGAGATGATGACTTAATACCTTCTTCAGCAAGGCCTTAAGAAGGCATAGAAGCTCCTGTTAGACTTCTTCCTGGTATCAAGCTGACTTCCCTTTCAATATGAGTCTATATGTTTGCTATTCCATTTTATTAAATCTATCAGCTTACTACAGATCCTTATTGCTATCTCACTTTGTTTTTCTCCTACTGTGAAGGGAAATACATTTTCTTTGTTCTTCTTTCGCCCTAATATATGCTGCCTGTGTTAACCATACTTAATGAAAACAATCACAATTTTCTCAGGTTTGTTTCTCCCTATTGTGTACTTGAGATGAGAAACTCACTTTGCTGTGTACAGTACAATACTTTTAATTGGAAAGAAGAGGAAATCGCTAGTGACATTTCTAATACCTTCAGTCGTCTGCCTCTTTCCTTAGGCCCAGCTTATAATAAATCGTGAATCTAACCATAAATAGGGAGGGGTGACTGGATTTGCTAATGGGCCCCTTAACAAAAATACAGGTGTAGTTCACCCTGCCTATCACTGAATTGGGAGTGTAACCTGATTTATTGGAGCAGATGAAAATGTTTGAGACTATTCCTTAGCCTTTACCAAATAATCACGCATTTCCAATTTAATTGATGGGGATTTAATCATGGTCATCCTTCTGGTATTTTGCAAACTTTGCCTGAGGTGGAGGTAGTATTGATTATAGAAGGTGGATTTTAGGGTCTTGGTTCTGTTCTCTAGAACACAGAATGAATGTTTCTTTGGAGACTCGACATTTCCAGCAAGCTCACTCCCTCACCACGCCTCTCCCCCATTTCAGTCCATTTTGGGGTCAAGAAATCTTGAAACCTGTTTATAGTTTTTGAAGTATGACAAGCAGAAAGGAATCCAGAAATAATTCTGTATGTACATACCCGTTAGCATTTAAGATGTCGAATTTTACAGGCTCCTGTAGCATTTGACGTTGTGACCCAATTCACAAGTGTTCCATACCATTTTGATTTGAAATTCGCAGTATCAAAGGAAAATAAGCACTTAAATGTCCTACAGCTGTGTTTTAAAAATATATGCTCTCTGTTGGAAGGTATAGTTTGTGAACTACTAAAAAGAACCTTTTTTATGTAAGGGAATACTAATCCCAAGCCCATCTTGAAGAACAACTTATTTTTTCATTTTCATCAAATGGTAGCTAAGTAAGAGGCTAACTGCAATATTAGTGCTTTAAAGTTATAAAAATAAGACAAATGTTACTGCATTTACTCAAAAGCAGTATATAGTGCTTTCTTGATTCTCTTGGTAAATGCTACATCCTTGTAAAGTATAGTGCTGAGTCACAGATAAATGAAATTAATTCAGCAAACATAATTCCTGCCCTCTAGGAGCTGACAATAAAATAATTTTTCAGATATTTTGTTAATGAAAGAACATTTGTTAACTTTAACTCCCTAGAAGCTAGGTGTATTTTCATCTTGATTAAATCTATATGAAGTTTGCATTGCCCCATTTTAAATAACTTTAATGTATTCAAAGCTACTAACAGGACTTGGGTTTTTCTAGTATTAATTAAAATTAAAATAATGTAAAATTTTATTAACATTTAAAAATATCACTACCTTATCTTTAGGTACATATTGTTTTACTTAACATCTTAAGAATTGTGGACAAAGCCCAGGTGCAGTGGCTCACACCTGTAATCCCAGCACTTTGGGAGGCTGAGGCAGGTGGATCGCCTGAGGTCAGGAGTTCAAGACCAGCCTGGCCAGCATGATGAAACCCTGTCTCTACTAAAAATACAAAAATTAGCTGGGCATGGTGGTGGGTGCCTGTAATCCCAGGCTGAGACAGGAGAATTGCTTGAACCCAGGAGATGGAGGTTGCAGTGAGCCAAGACTGCACCATTGCATTCCAGCCTGGGCAAAAAGAGTGAAACTCAGTCTCAAAAAAAAGGAATTGTAGACAAAATATTGAGAACTAACAGCAGGCATAGCAGAGGCTGGGTTGTGGTGCACTGAGACCACAGATTGTGGTCACATACACACAAAATGTGTGCTGTTTATCCAGCATGAGATGCTGAGCTAAAGTTCCTAACCTCTCCAAGTCCTATTCCGGGATAGCGCTGGAACAACAAAGTAGCCTATGGTAGAGGGAACAGACTTTTAAATAGGTAGAGTGTGTGATGGTGTGACAGCAGAAGTCTTAACAAGGTACAAAGTAGAGCAAAGCACAGAGTGACTACCACAGAAGGCATGAAAGGCAGCACCTAAAATAATTACACTAGCAACTAATCCTGGAGGTGCCTAACTTAGCTTCAGGCCGTTTGGCTACTTTCTATTATCCATTAACTCCTCCCTGTCATCATATTGAACTTCATGTCCCGATCACTTCAATAATTCTCTTGTCCTCTGTCAAACAAACAATGTTTGACAAACCCAGTGATCTGCTTGGTCTGTGCCTGTACCTAGATGGCTCCGGCTGTGGGAGGAGGACAGTTAGCAGGAGGGCTTGCTATGGGTATATTCTCAGCACATCACGCACAGTGGCACTCTCAGCCCTCTCTGTATCCTACTGCTACTCACTCACCCCTTCCTTCACTGGCTGTAACTTCTTTACTTTCCTGAAAACCCCCTTTTCAGACTCAGAAGACCTTGCCTTCAGTTTCTCAGAGCAAATAAGTGAAATAATGGAAGGAGGAGGCAGAGAGCGTGACAGGAGAGATAGATTAGAGATCGTCTGGAAAGGGGTTAAGGGCAGAAGTTTGGGAATCACTAGCAAGGAGGGTGCAGGGTTGGGGGTACTAAGGAAGGAAGGAGCCTGAGAATGTGGAATGGCGGGGTCAGAGGAGGAGGAGGAGTAGGAGTGTCACAGAAACCAATACCGAAGAAGGAGGTGCAGTGAGAGCTGTTCAATACCATGGGGACATCAACGTCCAAAATATTTCCACTGCATTTTTTAATTAGGAAAAGTCTAGTGAAAGCAGTTTCAGGGGTTGGAAGAAGGTGGAAACTAGAATACAGTAGTTTAAGGTATGATTGAAAAGTAAGGAAGTAGAAACCTCAGGTACAGATTACCTTGGCAAGAAGTTAGGATAAAGCCTGTCTTAGTCAATCCTCATGAACAAGTGTATTATCTAAACTTCATTCCCCAAATCTGAGCTTAACAGACAACTTTCCAATTAATAATCTGGCTTTCTGTATAAATATAGGGAAAGAATATGCTGTTTTTAGGTGTACACATATTTTAGTTCATGTAACAGCCTCTTTTTTTATTATAAATTAATAAATAGCATTTTGGCTTTAGGAAGAATGAGGGAGATTAGGAAGGAAAGAAAGAAAGGGAGGAAGTGAGGAGTTTGGCTGTGAAAAGAGTAGCTAGACAAGGAAATCCAGAGGTGAAGAAGGGTTTTGTTTGCTTGTTTAAGGATGCTAGTGCATTAAGCAGATTTGTAAATAAGGAAAGAGAGTGAAATTAAAGGTATAGGGAGGAGGGGCATCCTTTGGCTGGTAAACAGTCAGGGCATTTCCAAGGTAACAGGAACAGTGAAGAGTCCTGAGAATACAATATTCACAACAGACACAGAGTCCTAAAAGGCAAGATGGAGCTGGGAAGGGGTTAGGTGTTCAACAGGAGAAGGGAGGGACCCTTCCAGTTCCAAGCCTGCAGGGAAGGAGATAATTATGGGTGTGACCTAGGTAAGCTCACAGATGAGGGGCAGAAACCCGAGGAGGTTTCTTGTAGATGGATTCAAGTGAGAAACAGGTCTGTCAAGATTGCGCCTGTCAGATCTAGGTAGAGGGCCTGAGGAGAGTGACTTTGGAATAAGCCTCTGAGAGAAAACAGAGGGAATTAACAGGTTGAAGAAAAATAGGTGTTGAGAATCCACTCTAAGCTTGAAAACAAAACTGATGGCTCCGTTTGCAAATTTCTGTCGTTTTATGGTGTTCAGCAGAGGATTGGAGAAGGCATATCTGTGGATTCACTAATGATGGAAGGTTTTGAGACTAGAATAGTCTAGAGGAACCTACTGGAAGGATTTCAGCAATCTGGGATCCCAGTTAGGTGAGAGTCAAGGGCTCAAGGTTTGCTAGAGGGAGAACAGTGTGTCTTGTGGGAGTAGGTAGTAAGAGAATACCTCTTTGTTGTCTCTGGTAGCAGCCATGATGTGAGGAAGCCACTTGCCTGGTAGAGGTGTGGAGCTGGATAACTTGACACGTCCACTTACAAGCTCCTAGTGAATTGGAATGTCCATGAAGAATTAAATATTTGTTGCTTTAGATCCTAGCAACCAGCTGCCCCCAGCAGTTACTTTCTCTTTTCACTTGTGCCCCAATCTTTTCTACCCCTCATCTGAGAGTTAAAAACAAAGCCACTACAGTTTTGAACTGAGGTAGTTGTCAAACAGAAATGTACTATTCTGCAATGCTTGTTAGAGACCTAAATGATTTAAAGAAAGCAATCAGATCACCTACATTGTCCAAATAATTAATGAAGCTTTTGTCCTAAACTGTCTTACCTATATCCTGAAAAAGTTGCACTCTGTTTACCCTCACATCACTGCCCAGGAAACAAGGCTCAAAGAGGTTAAATGACTCCTCAGATCACGTAGCTTATAGTTGACAGAGCTAGAATTTGAAGTCTGTTTCTCTGGTTTTTTAAATCATGCTTTTCCCACCAAACCACACAGGTACCAGTTGTTTATCATGACAGTGAACAAACAAAATAAATGCTTAAATTGTAAAAAGAACTTCCAAATGACATAAGACTGAAAGTAAATGATAGAAGCAGAGTGCTTTCTAGAGATTTGTTTAGAATCAACAATCACTGATTGTCCTTAATTGCTTAACTGTCCATCCTTCTCAAGAGACAGAAGAGGAACATCATGTCTTTCCGTGATTTTACCATTTAGTTTCTAAAACATGAAGTTAAAATGTAAAGAGAAACAGTGATAAAATGGAACTACTCAAATACATTGGTGTAGATTAGAAAATTATTTTCTAAAAGGATTACATACTATAGGAGTCTAATAACCTTTAAAATTGGTAGTGTAAGGTTTTGTTTAATGTTCAAATCACTGGCTACAGAACTCTTCTCACAGAAAGAACCGCCTTCGTTCAGAGGATTCATTTGTGTCTACCTAGATGGGGGTCTAATAAAAGATGGTAAACTAAATGTTGAGCTGTATTGCTCTACCAAAGAATATGTGGACTATATCATTTGCTTCATTCCCAAGAGGAGAGAAAATGGTTAAAGCTAGGTCATAGAAATAGGGAATGGCTGAAGAACTTGGTTGATGATGGGAGAGAGATAAAAGATCCAACAAGAGCACAGCAAAGCTGGGACATGAAAGACAGACAGAGGTGACCTTGAGAGTTTGACCCTGCTGGGAATGTGCAAAAATGTTTGGAGGTAGGATTTCAACTTTCTACGGAATGAAAAATGGGAGTTAGAGTGAATATCATTGAGTTTATAAAGGGCAGGTGAATCTAATCGATATCTGTATTATGGTGATTTCACCCCCATTTTATCATTTCACTTATTTAAAACAATACATAATGCATACTTTACATATTTCTGGGTCACAAGTTTGTACCTATTTGCTCTAAATGACATAATTTGTATTTCATATGCAGCAACCCTGTCTTTATAGGTATTTTGTAAATTAGAGACTTTGGAGGTTTTGAGTATATTAATTACCCATCCATTTGTGTGGGTTCCTCAAGTATGACAGAAATAATATGGGTACTAGTTTTAATTTAATGCATGGATTATGTATGCTTCTATTCAAGATGCAAATTTAGTGGAAAGATTCTTGACTATAATTGTTTATGTAGTATTATAAACATCCAGAAAATATGGACAGTCTAATGTCATATAAAAATTGATAAGTTTGGTTTTGCATTTATTATAAATATTTCTTAATTTCATACAAAAATAGATATTAAGTTTGGTTTTGCATTTATTATAAATATTCTTATGTTATTACTTTTATCAAGGGCTGATAATGAGTGTAGTTCTATAAACAGTAACTAATATTAACTCATACTTAATGCTAGGTTGTTCTTTAGGTAATTGTAAGTATGAAGTTTTAGTCTTTCAAAAGTTGGAGAAAGTTATAGAAGAGAGGGGCTTAAACTATTAAAGGAAAAAGGCCTTGGACACTGAAAAAAAGCTGGTAATTCTGGTTATCAGAAAAAATAATTATAAGAAATCTATTTCACACTATACAATTCATATCTTAATTCAGTGTTTCACATATAGTCATTATCTTCCATGGAAATGGTAAGAAATTTTTATAAACAGCTACAGGACTGTAATAAACTTCCCTCTGTGGATTGTCTCTATGCCACGCACTCTAATTCATCTGAAACCTGTAGGGAAGATATCATCATCTCTGTTTTGCATATGAGGAAGCTGAGCGTGGCTGTGTTAAATGGCTTCCCCAAGGATACAGTCATATAGGACCCATGTTAATGCCATAGCCTGTCCTGAAACTCTTCCCTTAGACTACTGTGAACCTGTCCACTGCAGGTCTCCAAGACAGTTGCCGAGAACTTTAGATGATTTTCCTCAATCCTGAATTTGCTGGCAGAATTCCAACCTGGAGCAGGCTCCACCCTGCGTGTAGAGATCAGTTCTTTGCACCCCACTCTGTCCTGGTTGTGCATTAGCACTGCATTAGGAACCACTGGCATCTACTCGTGGAGTTTAGTGTAGGACCCTCTATTTATCAACAGAGGTATTTTCTGTCATTAAAAAAAAAATTAGCAGAGCCATCAGACTTGACCCAGTCTGACTAAGTACAGTGAGAGAAGTTTTCTATACACTCTATTTCATGAGCACTGTCAGCATTGACCAGTCGTTGCTTTGGAGTAGAATATGAGTTTGAGATCAGTGATCTCAGTAGCAGAGACAAACGTTGCTTGTTTGGCAGTCGCTTGTCATCTCTCCAGTATGCACTCATCCATTTGTCACAATATTTTGTGGCGAGTTGTACAGGGAAGCTTAAGAAAAATGCTTTGCTCCTGTCTTGATGATAGAAAGCATTTCTCACTGCTGGTAGCATGGCGGTAACTTATCATTCCTTCTGGCAGTTTTTAAAGACTTATTTGACTTTGGGGGAACCTGCGGTATATCTTTAAGTCACAGTTCAAAAGTATAAGACAGGGTTGCTCATTTTCAATTTTGGCTGAAAAGTCTTAACTTTCACTGTGGCACTTCAAAGTTAGAGAAAACTTGGTTTTAAAAATGGATGCTGATATGAGATGGCATATTTAATGACAGATGTATCTATAGAAAGCTGTTAAGATGCAGATTATCCCCCCTGGGGTGGGGGAGGGAGATCAAAACTGCCAATCTATAAAATATACTCGATAGAGGAAGGCATGGAATCTATCTTTGCAAGTGCTTTGATTGCAGGGGACAGTATAGCAGCATGTGGCATCGTAACCCAGAGCAGACAAATCAGCTTGATGACTTTCAAAGCCAGGAATACTGCTGCAGGCAAGGGTACTCCAGTCTAGGAGAAATTAAAACATATAGAGACTGTTATTAATTCCATATCTATTTTTGTATAGTCAAATCTGTATGCAAATCCTTAGCATCTCATTTCAGCAGATTAATCTAAAAGTGAAGAGTGTTATGTGAAGGGAATGTAATGATAAAGCCCTGGAAATGAGTAACACTGCTAAAGAAATGTGGGCTGCAAACTTGGATGTTTTTTAAAATTTATTTTAGAATTGAGAGAAAAATGGTTTTTATTTACATGCTCATTTGTAAATTATTTCAAAGAGGAAAACAATAAAACCAATTTCCAAGGTTTTTCTTTGCAATCCTGACTTGGCAAAAGTTGCAGCACTAGGTGTGTGAGGCACCTCCTGTGGTTTAACATTCTAAAGGCAATCTATTAATACCAAATAACTGGGACTTTAATTTTTACTCCCAACTAGTAACCTAATATCTCATTTCTAAACATTGTGATGTGAATGAACATTTGTATGTAAGGGTAAAGAATCTAATTACTGAGTGCAGATTAAGACAAAGATGTATTATAGATGCATTTGTGGAAGATAGTAAATAATAATTCTGAAAAGCATGGAGATAAATTGTATGCCCTGCTTGGGAGAGGGGATGTAATAGCTACATTTTAATCCATTGGTTGTACGTTTAATCTATAATGGGCAGAATCTGGTACATACAGTAATGTAAATATTTTCAAATAGTGTCATAAAGCAGATAGTTTACTGCAGTAGATATTAATTCTGTTCCATATTTCTAAAACAAGCAGAGAAACTTTTGAAGTTTTTAAATGATGGGTGGAGCTTTGCCCTCTGTTCCCTTTCAATTAGAGAAGTGATTGTAGGCAAGCTGGACATTAATCTGGTGGTTATGGCCCAGATCAAAAGCACCAGCAATTATTTTAACCATGAAGACTTGTGAAGTCTCAAGAGATTAAACTATTCTTGTGTGGTTATGCTGAGAAAGAATTATTGAACACTCTGTTTTTAATCACCCAAGAAAGGGAAGATTGGGAGTAAAGGCAAACACAACCCTATATTTATTTTGACACTCATCTTGACCATATAGGCATTTTAGCCTCAGCTTTCTTAAGTGTGTTTTCCTTTCCTCTGATTACATTTTTAAAATGAGACATTTGATGAGAAATCCAGAGAAGACTTTCTTTGAGGTCAGGAAGCTCATGTCTCTCTGTTCTTTGTGGATTTCTCTGCAGACAAAGCTTTTGTTGATCTTTAAAATCTTAAATCTTCAAGCTTCTGAAAGAATTTTAAAAATAGTCCTCTAGTTAATAATAGTCAAAGTCAATTATATGAAAGATATAATCTCCTTACTGGGGTTGAGTGAGAGAGTAATGATTGGCCTGGATAGGTTCCTTCCTCTTTATTTATCCATTAGTTTTGATTGATTATTCCAGCGCAGTTAAGGATTAGACACTAATTCTCTGGATTCTCATTGACTTATCTCCTAGCCATGTAGTTGATGGTGGTGACCTATTCAAAGTATTTGAACTGTCGAAGCAAAAAATGCACCAGATAAAGTTAAACAGAGAAAGAAGACTTTATTCAAGTCTATTGTAATAGGAGAGAGAATCAGAAAACAGTTTGAAATCAATTCTATTAGTTTTTAAGAGGACAGTTTTTAAGCATTGGGGTGATTTTGTAAAAAAGTACTGAAGAACATTTCAGGGGAGCTTGATTAATGGATATGTTGTACCCATGCAGTTATTTCTGAGTTGGTAATTTTTGTCTCTGTGATTAGGCCACCTGTGTTTGGTGCTAATTGGTGCCTACTAAAGTTAGGGTCCTCGGGAGGTGGAGGTTGCGGTGAGCTGAGGTCTTGCCATTGCACTCCAACTTAGGCAACAAGAGTGAGACTCCATCTAAAAAAAAAAAAAAAAGTTAGGGTCCTACCTTCCCATAGAAGCTGGGATATAGGGCACTATCTTCTTCAATGATTATATTTCAAAGGGATGGCTCTCTGGACCTTAACAAAGATATTCTTAGGTTATAAAACTGGCAAGCAGCTTTTTAAAATGATTTACATCTCAAAGAGGCAGAGAAAGAAGTTATGATTACAAGTTTTCTAAAGTAAGTAATCTAAGAAAGGGGAGGTCAAGGGCCCCAGAGTCAGGAAGCAGCCTTTTTAGTTTAGTCAAGCTAGGGAAATGCTAAGGCCACCTTGGTCAGTATTTTAACAGTATATGTATATTTTTTAAATTAAAAAAATTCCAGTAGGAAACTTTTTTTAGTCTGGCTTAATTTTATATTTTTATTGAAAAAATAGCTGCTTGTGATACATATTAAAATAATAATGTTATTCATTTTATACCAGTGTCTAGAACTACATATAAGGCAGTATTTCTAAAGATAGATTTCTTTGGTCCCATATCCTTGATATTTTATCTCACATTTAATATCTACTGGTGATATTTCCTTACTATGCTGTTTTATGTATTGTTTTTAGAGTTTTTCCACTTAATGGTAAAACTGAAAGCAAAACTAATAATTTCTGGGTTTTACAGGGCTCAGTATACACCACAAAAATGAAAAGAAGTATGAGGACAAATAAGAGAAACTTAGCTGGAAGTATGATGATTTTTTAGTGGTTCTTATTAGGTAGGTCTGAAGTCTCTTAGATCTAAGCAGTTGTCTAGAGGGCTTCAAAAGTCAACCACAATAGCAGCTGCACTGAAGAGCCCTAGATTTGTGCTGCCCAATGTGGTAGCCATTAGCCACATGTGGCTTATTGAATCCTTGGAAAACGGCTGATCTGTATTGAGATGTGTTGTGTCAAGTATACACTGGCTTTTGAAGACTTAGTAAGAAAAAAAAAGAATATAAAGTATCTTAATAATTTTTATGTTGATTTCATGTTGAAATGATAATTATGGCTATATTGGGGTATGCACAATTTATTACATGTAATGTCACTGTTTCTTTTTATGTTTTATATAGCTATTGGGAAATTTATCATTGCATATGTGACTTGCATATATGGCTCTCGTTATATTCTATTGGACAGCACTGGCTTTAGATATTTTTTGTTAAGTAATGTCAAAAGATATCAAGATATTACTGTGTTAGTGTACAGAGGTTAGAGCTTTAAAATTAACAATTTAGTGAAGGACAAGAATTTTCCATATAACTGTCCCTGGCATAAACAGTATAGAGATTTACCTATGTGTACTATGTTTGCTCTCACTCCCTAATACTTTGCCCCTTATCTGGCCATGCAAAACAGCTTGCCAGAATTGGGGTCCTCTTGGTAATGTCAGCATACTTGTTGCTTACTCTCAACTGGATTGCTTCTGAAATGTTTCTTTAAAATTAAACTGCTTCAACAATAGGCTTCTTAATTATGTCATGGGCTCACCATGAGAGTATACAAATAGATCCTCAGCAGTAGCTAATTTTCCTTTAATTGTATCTCATTCTTATGTTGGAATATCTTATTCCTTATTCATGAAAACCTCTAACACATGTTAATCCATTACAGGTGGAGTAACTAATACGGCACAATATCAGAACAGGCTAATGGTTTATGAACCTAACCAGGTAAGAATCATAATAAGAAAAGCTCATTACCTTAATTAAAATGAATTTTAAAAGATTCCAGGGTAATTAATAATTGGAATGCCAAGTCTACACACACAGATATGCATCCTACATTTATATAGAGAAAAGGAAGCACCTGAATAAACTGCATTTTTGTTTTGTTATTCAAAAAATTTCAACTCTAGTTTTTGTGATTTTCATTGTCCTAATGCTATGTCCTTCTGGAAGGGGCTGCCATTCTAGGAGGGGATCATGGTTATGGTTTATTCTTAAAAAGCAAGTATTAACTTAATATAGCCCAAATGATCTAAACCACTATGTAAGACAAGTCTAAAGTAGAGGTATATGAAGAGTTTGAGAGATGAGAAGTGTCTGTAGAGTTTTCATCTAACAGCTAGGGCCTGAATGTGCATATTGATGGTGCCTGTACCTTCTTTTGTCTACTTCTCATTTACACCCAAAGCCTGTTTCCCCCCGCCAAATAAATATTTTTATTCTCATTTCCATCTACAAAAATATGTATGAATCTTGGCAATTATCTGCTGAATTTTGCCATTTCTATGATTTGGGTAATGTAAATATGTTTTATTATGACAGTATTCCAAAATGATTTGTAGGTTTAATATTCATCAGCTGAAGGTAATGGGATAACAACAGGTTGGCTTTGGCAGTCTGGGTTGGGACTGGCCACCAAATCTATGTCCAGAGTGGACGGAGTGTATTTGGTATCTTTTTATTTTAGCAATTACTTGATTCTATATTTAATGAAGGCATTTTCCCCTTTACAAGTGTGTTTCCTGATGTCATTAGCAGCTGTAGATTTCAGAGACCAAATGTCCATGGGTCAGCTGTCTCAAGAGGGATCATTAATTGCAGTTGCTTGAGTGTGGTGCACACGTGGTTAAAGAGGAAGAAGGTGTTAACATTTCTCAAATGAGTTCTGTTTCATGTTTGTACACACATGCTCTTTTAAAAAATTCTGCTGGCATATTGCTTACGGTGGGTACTGGCAAACATCACATCTGCTTGCATCTTGCTCAGAATCTCAATAACTCTATCATTCAGCCCTGGTGCTTATTTCTCTTCTAGGCCTTTATGGAGAGTCGATAATGCCTGCCATCTGCCACAGAGCACATTGCTACCTGCCAACAGGCAGGCTGGGGTGACCTCTGCTTCCCCACCACTGATTAGTATTCACACGCTAGCTTATTAGGAATGACCCCACCAGGCCTCTCTGTTTCTTCGCCTTTGCAGCGGTTGGCGGCTCACCTGGCAGGCACTGCAGTGAAGGAAGCTAAAGATATAATCAGGGGATGCAGGCAGGCTTTGCAAACCAGATGGCATCCATAGTCTTGTGGCAGGGGACTGGACTGCTAATGCAAACATTGATTCCTAATACTGTAATGGGTTGTCTCATAGAAAATACCTAAGAAAAGCATCATCAGAGTTTTGAGTTAAATACATTCATGTGTAATGTATTATACATATTAGCAAATAGCTGAAAGGCAGGCTTGACTATTAAAGAAGACATTTGATTGGAAGAAAATTCTTATTACAAGTTCAAATGGGGAACAGATGAATGCAAGCTTTTCAAGCTATACAAACCACTTCTTTTCTTGAGTGTATCTTTAAAAGAGAAATTAGAAATGAGCTAATCTATATGCCTATTAGTGAATGGAACACTATTTATATAAAATGTTTATTGTTGTCTTTTGCTTCTTCCCTTACAGTTTTGTAAAATGGTGATATTCTATGTATTCAAAACATTATATGACTTTTTCTGGCTGAAATCCAAATTTTTCTTGGCAAAAAGGAATCTGGGTTCTTCCTGTATGCTTAGTGTTTATGTAGAAAGAAAACTGTTAGGTTGGCCGGACACGGTGGCTCACGCCTGTAATCCCAGCACTTTGGGAGGCCGAGGCGGGCGGATCACGAGGTCAAGAGATCGAGACCATTCTCGCCATGATGAAACCCTGTCTCTACTAAAAATAGAAAAATTAGCCGGGTGTGGTGGCACGCACCTGTAATCCCAGCTACTTGGGAGGCTGAGGAGGAAGAATCACTTGAACCCAGGAGGCGGAGGTTGCAGTGAGCTGAGACTGCGCCACTGTGCTCCAGCCTGGCCACAGAGCAAGACTCCGTCTCAAAACAAACAAACAAACAAACAAACAAAAACTGTTAGGTTTGTTTACCTGTTCATTACTGCTTTACTTACCTGTCCATTACTTAGCTGAGATTTAAAATTAAAGTCATATTTGGTCTTCATTTAATTTTACAGAGAGCCTTATTTTAAGAAAGGTTGGGCATACCCTTCTCATTACTGAAGGTGAACTAAAACCAAATATTGAAGGTTTCACCATTCCCTAAAGTTACATAAAACTTAGTGTTCTGGCTGGTTGCAGTGGCTTACGCCTGTAATCCCAGCATTTTGGAAGGCCGAGGTGGGTGGATCACCTGAGGTTAGGAGTTTGTGACCAGCCTGGTCAACATGGTGAAACCCCATCTCTACTGAAAATACAAAAATCAGCTGGGTGTGGTGGCACACATCTATAATTTCACCTACTCGGGAGGTTGAGGCAGGAGAATCAGCTTGAACCGAGGAGGTGGAGGTTGCAGTTGAGTCGAGATTACGTCACTGCACTCCACCTGGGAGACAGAGTGAGACTCCGTCTCAAAACAAAAAACAAAAAAACCTTAATCTTCCACCAAAACAAATAAATGTGTGCCTAGAAATAACCTTTCCCAATTTGGCAAAAGATGTGACTGTTAAGATATTAAAGGAGGCTGATTAAAGGAAGTGTGGGTAGTTTGTTGCTGAACCAAATCTTAGCTCTTCCACTGATCTTAGGAGGTTAATTTTGGAAAGAACAGGAAAGCCATTAGCTTATCTAGTGGCCTCAGGTACCCAGTGATTATTATCACATAATTTTGAAAAAGTAAATATGTATTGAACATTTTTCATGTGCATTTTTCTAAGTGCTTTGCAGAATCAAACAATCATTGCACCACTGTATACAGTATACCTAGCCATGTGCTTTCACTTTTAATTAATTTGCATGAGTAAATTCTCTGAACTGGGTTAAACATCATGAAAATTTAAATGTTCCCCTTATAAAATTCAAAATGCACTGTAAAATGCAACACAAACTAGAGGAGATGCCATGTGTAAATCGCAAAGAAATAATTGGAATACGTGGCTCTTTGGTACTTGTTCTCATGTAAGAAGCCCATACCTTTCAGTGTATACAAACAACATTCAAACAGAATGTTGATCTACTGATAGATAAACATTAAGGTTCCCACTATGTATGAGGCACTCATTGCTGATTTCTGACATGGAGGTCTCCTACTAACAGAATGCACGTATGTTTCTTCTTTCAGAATAAGTGGATAAGCCGTAGCCCCATGCTACAGAGAAGGGTCTACCATTCCATGGCTGCTGTACAACGGAAGCTTTATGTTCTTGGAGGCAATGACCTAGACTACAATAATGACCGGATCCTTGTGCGTCATATAGATTCTTACAACATAGACACTGACCAGTGGACACGTTGCAGTTTCAACCTGTTGACTGGCAAGTACCTTTGATTAAGTAAATCAGGAAAAGCAGATTCAAGAAGTCACCAAACTTGTTTTGTAGACATCTTTAGGGCATCACTAAATATTAAGTGCATAGTTGTAGAAGAACCTGCATTTATTAATCAGAAAGGTGTGCATCATTTATGTTCTAACAAAACTGAACTCATTTAGGTAGCTGAGCATCTAGCTTCTCAGGGCCTACATTACTACCTTAAAGTACATCCTCATGTGGCTGAGAGGCATGTCAAGTACATTATCATCAATCAGGATTACCATGGAACTCTGGTACAAATAGGAGGAACCAGACACTGAAAGAGTTAATAGATCTTTGCAGAAGGAATTTATTGTTTACTTCTCACCGCTTTCAGTCTTATTTCTTATGAGTTCAGGAGTTTAGGAGCATGGTCTTCATTATTTGCCGCTGTCAAATATTGTTTCTGGGAGTATTCTCCTAGAAATGAAACCCTAAAATAGTTCTGCGCACAGGAGTTAGCTGCATTTCTGGCCACAAATACCCATCCAATTATTTACCACAGGGCAACATTAGGTATGGACCCTTCTCATCCCAAAAAAGAATGAAAGGAATGTGGTGAACAACTTACCCCTTACGTTTCTTTATGGAATGAATAACTTTTCCCCACTTGTCAACTTGCATTGTTAACATCCGCAAGTGATCAGATCCCTTCCAGGTCTACTCAAATAATTGGAAAAATCACAAACTGAAAATGGTCGGTTGGGTTAAAAGACATTTTGATATGCTGAGTATATGCAGGCGCTGCTGGGGGAGGCAACACTCGGGATCTAACAAGAGGTTTAAATGCTTGTATTGAGCTCCTATTTTTGCAAAATGATTTTTGAGGCCCACTTGACAAGGACTTAGAAACTCTAAGGCCCTCGACTCTGGATCTGTGATTCTACCTGCTGTAAGATCCAGCTTATTTATTACCCCAGTCAATCCTGTGTCAGCCCATCAATAAAAGAGACTCTTTCACTCTCTGATGGCCTCCAGGGAAGAATATGTGGTAGTGAGTTATTCTGTCTTCCTTTTGAAATGGGAGGGGAAACCTTTCATCATTTTGGCGTATCAGTATCTAGGTATTATCCAGGCTGGTCCCAACTCAGGAACTTTAACATAATCTTTAAAATGTTGGATATGTAAAGAAAAGTAGGATAGCAAGTTAATCAATCTTTCCTGCCATTTGTCTTCATTTGGGCAATGCCAGGGGCATGGTTCTGCTTTATTGGCTTCTTGGGTTGCAACTTTACAAATATAAGCACTTGGCTAAAAGCATTTGTGGGTACTATAAGAGGTGCTTTTCATTTCTATAATATACCTTATTTTCACCACTGTAAATTAATGGCATGTGACATAGTATAGAATTCAGTTCTAGATGGCTTACTATTGCTGTATTTAATGCTGTATTTACTAACTTGGCTGGCTAATAATTGTTTTGGCCTGGTTCTGACCCAACACAGATTCATTCTCTGAGAAATAGTGCTTAATTTTTTTGAGTACTGGGAGGCAGTGATTCGTTGCTGCAAAAATCCCATGGAATATACAAATCTGCCACAGGGGACAATTGTATCCCTCAGTGGCAAAAGGGTTAATTAAAATATGTAAGAAATGGATTTTTTTCTTTTTATTCAATTCTCTTTACTTTAGGCCAAAATGAATCTGGAGTTGCTGTCCATAATGGGAGAATATATTTAGTTGGTGGATATTCAATTTGGACAAATGAGCCTCTGGCTTGTATCCAGGTGAGTGGTTGAAGTTCATTTTGAAGTTTGTTCGAGTGGTTCAGTGAGGTTACATTTTGCAATGCTGCTACTGAAGAAAGAGATATTTACATTTAGAAAGAGGCTTAACGTCCCTTTTTTGTGCAACTATTTCAGCTACTAAACTTCATCCTGTATCCTAAAAAGATGCCTAAATGATTGAGCCCTATTAAAAATAAAAATGGGATGAGCTTTGAAAATATATGTAATATGTACTAGAAACTGGGGAACTGGTATAGCTTTCCCTTTCTCCCAAATCAAAACATTCTAAAAATATTTGGCAATAGTTCCTTCACATCCCCAAAGCTTTACAAATACCTCCTTTCCACACCATTACCTTATTTTTTATGTTACAGTTCATTCATTCCTACAAATACCACCTACAAAGGTGTTCTTCCTTCATGGCAGAGGCTGTTAGCAGTAGTGGTTTATGACTGGTCTGATAGGGACAGCCTCTGTCCCAAAGAATAGCCCTGGTGCATCAGCATATGAGCAGCCCAGGCTGGGCAAATTGCCAGCTAGGCCTTTCAGAAGAGATTAGCCCTTGCTGATAGACACATTCAAAGTATTACTCCTATTATTATTTTACAGTTACTACCATAGTTTTCTCTTTTACATGTTCTCTGATAAAATATTGACATGTATTAGCCCTGACCTTTCTTCCTCACCTCCAGAAAAGTATATCCTTCTACTTTTATTATCTAATCTCATATTTATGGGAAGATTTTTAACAACTGCATCAATATCTTTAATAGTTGCAGAACAGCTCAATCTTTTTACTTCTTTTTCAGTCACATCTCATAAGGTATATATATATATTTTCAAGAAACTTCCATGTTGTCTTAAGTTTTCAAAATTGCTAGCATATAATTATTGTGTTACCCTTAGTTATAGCTCCCTTTACTTTCATAATATTGCCTCCTCTTCTCTTGATTTGTCTTGCCAGAGGTTTGCCTGGGGAATTTAAAGTACTTCTATTATTCATATAGATGAAGTTTAAAAAAAACGTCAGCAAGGGTTGGGTAGATATGAAAAATATAATTAACAAGCTTGTCTGAATGGATATGAGTTCTGATTGAACAGTTGGAAAGAATATTTTTTTCTTAGCATACATGGAACGTTTACAAAACCAGTCAGATACTATAGGATTAAGAAAACTTGAGTTAAAAAAATTAAGTATCCTATAGTATTATATAACTCGAATACAGAGCAATTAAGTTAGAACTTAACAAAAAAATAAACCCCAGCCGGGTGTGGTGGCTTACGCCTGTAATCACAGCACTTTGGGCGGCTGAGGCGGGCAGATCACCTGAGGTCAGAAGTTTGAGACCAGCCTGACCAACATGGAGAAACCCTGTCTCTACTAAAAATACAAAATTAGCTGGGCGGGTGGCGCATGCCTGTAATCCTAGCTACTGGGGAAGCTGAGGCAGGAGAATCACTTGACCCAGGAGGTGGAGGTTGTGGTGAGCTGAGATGGTGCCACTGCACTCCAGCTTGGGCAACAAGAGCGAAGCTTCATCTCAATAAATAAGTAAACAAACAAACCCCTACATATCTGGAAATAATAAAACACATTGCTTATGGGTTAAAGAAGAAATCATAGTGGAACTTAAAGAAATTCCCAGAACTGTGATAATGAAAACAATACACAGCAAAGCTTGTGAGATATATATATAGCTTCGTAGAAAATGAACGTTAGAAAATGAACCAAAAAATAATCACAAAGAAAATAGGATAGAGATAATAAAGTTGAGAGAAAATTAATAAACCAGGAAACAATAATACAGGAGAAAAGAATTATCAAAGCCACACACACAAAGAGCCACATAAGACTTTAGAGGAGTTCACTGAAGACTGCCTTGTACTGGTTTCAGTCAGTTAATGGAAGGCTGACCTGCACTAGAGCTTAGTCCTATCTTTTGGATAACAACAAATGAGCAAACTTTTTCTCAAAGAGTGCTGCTGGTCTTCATCCAAGCATGTATTTGGTAGTCTTTCACAGTCTTCTAGGTTTCTTTTTACTTTTCACTTTTCAGAATTGGTAGAACCTAGAAGTGGGCAACAGTTCTCTACTGGAACACTGTTTTTAAATGGCTTTGGGACCCTTCATTTGGGTCACTTGTACAATGGAAGTTTGAGTTTATTATGAAATAAGGTTGTAAATTTTAAATACATTTATGAGCATATTTCTACACTTTTAGTTATCAGATTAGCTCAAGGAATAGAAAATGGGTAGAAACCATAACATAATGAGGAAATAAAGAAAATGCCATACATATCAAGTTTAGGAGACCACAGTGCTGCCACAGTGCACTTTTTCCACATCTCCTATTTTATAATAGTCTTGAATGTTCACTTAAAAACAAAAACACTTCAAAGTCACATCTTTGGTTTTTTGTCACCAAATAATTTTTCTTTAGAATGATCACTAATCATATACACTAATTAACTCCTAATGACATTTGGCTGTTTTCAAACAAAACTAGCCACAAGAAGTGAAGACAGAAATAAATGCATATTTTAAACCACTGAGGATATTTGAGAGTACCCTCAGGATTATGGTGATTCTCAAAGGAGATTCAATTATTTTTTAAATCAATGCATGTATTAGTGGAATAAGTTTTACCTCTGAGATTGTACAATAATATATTCTAATATGTTTGCTTTTAAATAAAAGTTACCATGATGGGTATTTCTGTGTTCCAGTAGCCACTTTGATGAATAGAATGAATTCTTTGGAAAATGCTGTTTATTCCTTTGGCTGGCACACTGGTCCTACAAAGCACAGACAAATTTGTTAAAAAAATTTTTTTTTGAAACAGAGTCTTGCTCTGTCTCCTAGGCTGCAGTACAGTGGCACGATCTCTGCTCACTGCGAAGTTCTCCTCCTGGGTTACAGTGATTCTCCTGCCTCAGCCTCCCAAGTAGCTGGGATTGCAGGCATGCACCATGATTTCCAGCTAATTTTTTTGTATTTTTAGTAGAGACGAGGTTTCACCACGCTGCCCAGGCTGGTCTCAAACTCCTGACCTCGTGATTCGCCCACCTTGGCCTCCCAAAGTGCTGGGATTACAGGCGTGAACTACCACACCCAGCGGATTTATTTTTAAGAGCCTTTACTATTAATAGGTATTTACTATTAATAAGTATGCGTATAAGCATATGGATTATCACTTAAAGAGATGTTTGAAATAGAGACCTTCATGGATAGTAGACATATATCTTTCATTTTGGTTACTGACAGCTGGTTACAGGCTATATTATTCATTCTGAAATAAGGCTCAAATGTTTTTTATGTTATGGATGACTATAGAACTATTTGTTTCAATACACTAACAGTAATAAATTGATGGTTGGAGAGACTAGCTACATGTTCAAAAGTAGGCCACATCTTTGTTACTTAAAGAACACCAACAGAGGCAAGATAATGGGAGACTGGAATGGTATTTATGAGAAAATGCTTAACAATGGAAATTCGTAAGTATGTCAGTGGGTTAAGTACAGAAGCATGGTGGGGAAAATCAAATGCAGACCAAAAATATAAAGGTTTAAATTTTTTGTGTCATCAATCACAAATCTACCTAATATTTGATCCAAGATTAATCCACAAATCATTAATCCAAGAGCAATGGCTGGTTAGTACAAGTCAGACTTAAATAGTTCAGAGATTGTTCTATTAACATTCGGAAGGACTAAAGTCGTATTTTTGCTCTCAAAAGTACCAACCAATGTCTCATTGAACTGTCCTTTCTGACCCTAATCCAAGTTCTTTTAATTGTGTGTTGTAAGATTCAACCACAGTGGGATGAAGCATGTCAAATGTTGAAAAAGCGTACTTTATTTCCTGCTACTAATCTGATTTAGCAGACTACTTATCCATCACAAGGACAATGCAGAGAAAAGCAGAGATGCTTTTAGACTGAGATTTGGACTTGTTAGTAATAAACACTCATGGAAAATACGGGAAATAGATTACTTGCAAAGGGTGTTATTTAGTGGGTGTATAAACTAATGTATGGCACAGAGGTTTGACTCTAATCTTGTGTGCCATGGATGACAAGTGGCACATAAAGGAGCAGCTGCATAAGCGTGCAAGTGATTAGTCTGTTTTTAGATCACCTCTACTGTTCTCTTCATTTACTATTATTTCTTTTTGGCTGAAGGATATAGTGCCAGCTTGGCACCACATTCTCCCAAATGCCTTCTTTCAGCCAGTTTACAGGGGAATGTTTTGGAGAAAAACTGCCAATGCTTCCTTTTCCCTTCTCAGATTAAATACATCTGCTTAACATATGCAGTCTCTGTTGGCCCAAGGAACCAGACAAAAGCTCTCTGGATGATTATCTCATTAATATTTTGCCTTCTAAAAATGTTTTAATTCAGGAGAGAGGGCACAAAATCCTTGCTCTTTCTGGGTTGCATCTTGAGCTCAAATATTGGCTCCATCACTTGCTGTGTGACCTTGAGAAAGTCACTTTTTTTTTTTTTTCCAGTTGCCAATTTTCTTCTTTATAAATTGAAGATAATACTTAGCCTTATAGAATTGTAGCAAATACTAAATGACCTCTGATTTACTTTCTTAATGAAATACTATCCAAAGCTCCACTGGGGTTTCCCTTTTCTCATGGGGTAAAGGAGTGATACCTGTCAAACTGATCTTGAAAGTTTCTCTAGGGAGTAAATGTATAAGAATAACCAAGAAAATTTTGAAAATAAATGAGGGAGTCTTGCCTTACCTAGTCAAAACAACTGTAAATGTGACACAAATAAAATATATCAATTAACAGAACAGAGAAAAGCTTTGTATTTAGTATATGAGTTATTTTAAATTAGTAGTGACAGGGTATATTGTTCAATAAAGGGATTGGGACATCTAATCTCCACTTGGGGAGAAAATGGCTGTAATTTTGATCTTCTATTCTAGGACTTAGTAATTTTCTCATTTGTGAGCATGGATCCCCAAATTTCAAGGGCCCATTTCCTGTAAAATAATACATTCTTGCAGTTATAGGCTTAAGATTTATCTATACAGGTGATAGATGAAGGCATGAGAGTGGACTAGATCATTAAAGGAGGATACTAACAGGCCTGCAATTGAAATATTGAGTAACACCTACGTCCAGGATGCAGATGAAGGAAAAGTGATCCAAGGTGGAATACAATATGACAATGTCAGTGACAAAATTTATTTTTAAAAACACCAAATCCAAGGGAGGCAAATGTTTGAGACCAGCCTGTGCAAAATGGTGAGAGCCCATCACTACAAAAAATTTACAAATTAGCTAGACTTGGCGATGTGCACCTGTGATCCTGGCTATTCAGGAGCGTGAGACAGGAGGACTGCTTGAACCCAGGAGATCCAGGCTACAGTGAGCACCACTGCACTCCACCCTAGGTGACAAAGCAAGACCCTGTCTCAAAAACAAAAACAACAAAAACAAAACTCCAGCATAAACAGGAAAGAACAGGGAAAAAACTTCCAGAATCAATCAACTGAACTTATTTTGAACTTGCTACTAAGCTGTGTTATATTCCATTACCTGCCAGACACTCAGCTAGATGTCATCAATTTTCACAACAAAGCTGCAAGGTCTTGTTTTCTTCATTTCACAGATGAGGATGTTTAAGCCAATATTATGACAGACTACTTACTAACTAGTTTGGGCAAGTTATTTAGCTTGTCTAAGGCAGTTTTCTTAAATGACGATAATGCTACTTACTGCGTAATTGTTCTGAAAATTAAATGTGTATAAATACATATGTATGTATATATGTACATCCAGAAACATATTAACATAGTGTAGCATTTATTAGGAGCTTAATAAATATTTCTGGTACCATTCAAGCACGAAAAAGAATTCCTAAGATATGGTGATGGTGGCATAACTGAATTTAAGTTCAGAATTCCTTTTATGTATACACAGCTTTATTTTGAGCAGTCTTTGATGTACAGGCTTCTCTTCCTCTTTTGTAGGTACTGGATGTAAGCAGAGAAGGCAAAGAAGAAGTATTCTATGGGCCTACACTACCTTTTGCTTCCAATGGAATAGCAGCATGCTTCCTTCCAGCTCCATATTTCACGTGCCCTAACCTTCAAACTCTTCAAGTGCCTCATCACAGGATTGGCACCATCTGAAAAGCCAATGCTCTCAACTATCATGAACAGGAGGAAGAACTTAGCCCTGACTGTTGGATACTGGGCATGAAAAGACTCAGTGCTCAATGCTTCCTTGTCTTGCTTTATAGGTCTTATATTCAGATAGATATAAGCAAAAAATGAACAATTTTCTAAAATACATTATTGAAAACTCTTGTCACCCTTCTCAGAGTATGTCCACATGCAATATGTGACTTTTATTGTGGTACAGCTTAGTGCCAACTTAAGGTACATTATGTTCCATGGGTCTTTAGAGCATTCTTTGTACACTTTTTCTAATCAGCACTGTCTGAAGACAACATAACACTGTTGTTAGGCAATTTATTTGACTAAATGGCATCAATGATCTTAAAAAATATATATTCTGTACTTAATCCCTTTATTATTTAAAGCTGGGCTTGAATTTAACATTATGCAGCCCTGCTCAGTAGAGACTCAGCATTATGACATAAATTTTTAAATGCCATATTTTATTCAAGGTGATACGAACAATAGACATACATAAGAACAGCAGTTGAAATACCCATATTTTTCACCTTGGTTACTCTCCTTGGGTCAGAACCTAACTTTACAATGCTTCAGTTTTCCCACTTTTAAGAAGGATCATTACTGATTTCCATGTTAATTTAAAAAAAAAAATTATGAGAATTAGGTGAATATTATGAAATACTTTGCCCAAGAAAAAGAAAAATGTTACTGAAATTACAAGGTGTTTCACTGTCTTTAGAACGTTGCATTTGAACAGGATTATTTTTAAAGTTTAAAAATTACTAGCTAGAGCTTGGAAACATGTTATGGAATAAATGATACTGAAAAGAGTCTCTTTTGTGTGAAAGAGACACACAATTAGGAAATAGGGAGTTTACCAAAACCAAAGATATCTAAACTTGACTCTCCGATGTCTCATTTAAAATCATTTAGGGAAAAATGACATTTAAAGCTAAAAAATAATTTAGTAGTACTAATTATGGTAACATAAAGTGCTTTGACATAAATTTGAACCTAGAATTGGCAGTTCTAATAAAAGTTTTTCCACTTTGTTAAAGGTTATGTCAATCTTGAGTGCTTGTGGGATCCTTCTCCAACACCAATACATATTTTATTACTATCACTTTTAATAATGCATAAGAATTCTTTTTTAAGCTAGTTTTTTTTTTTGGGGGTTTGCTTTGTCTATAACAAAAAATAAATGAAACAACTTAATCACATTTGAAAACAAATTCAACAAGTATACTATGAGTTTTTCTTTTTCCTAACTTCCTCAGGACCTAGGTCATCTTTATTAAAAGGAAGAATTCACTCTTTTTTTCCTTGGCAGTTGTTTAATCATTCAGCAATCCCTCTCTTAAAATAACTGTTATTTTATTCATGTAACCATTTTTTGTAATCAAAAGTGAATAAAAAGATCTTTTTGTCTTAAATACAGAATTCACTAACTTCATATATTGATATATATAAAACATTGAAAAAAAAATATGACCTTTGGTTACTCAGATTCAAGGGGCAGGAAGGAGACTAAGGAGAGGGAAAATAGGTACATTAAAAAAATTGGAATTTAGACAAAAATCTTGAGTATTTGGATAGTTCTGAACAGTGAAAATTGATATTGACCATTGATATTTAGAATGAAGACAGCTTCTTTAAATGGTATAAGCCACCTAAACTAAATTTTAAAAATGCCTTACCAAGGCAGAAAAATGGACTCCAGTATTTCAGAAATCTTTTCAACAAGGACTTAAGAATTAAGCTATACTAATTTTTCTACTTGGGACATGAATTTCCTCTCTAGCAGTTTTACCTAATACTATTAAAATCTATTTGTATTCCCAGGCCCTATATCCAACCAATGAAAGGGAAATGCTCTAAAAATAAGCTTACCCAACTAATAATGGAAAGGCAGCCTGAGACTACCCTTCATTATTTCTGTATATATTTCCAACTGTTCATATAAAACAAATCAACATATATTATCAAACCCCTCCTAGGTGATCTTTATAATGTAATATTCAGTAATATTACAGAGCTAAACTCAGAATTTTAAAAAGTTTTACAGGGTTCAGACATACTCTTTACAGCTATAGCGAAAAGTAGTACAAAAAAAAAAAATAATAACATCCCTTCCCTAAAAAGAAAAAGAAAAAACCCCAGATAACTTATAATTAGATCTTTTTATTCAAAGTTATCAATAATAGAAATAAGAATTCTATTAAACTATGTCTGGTCATATGAACCAAATTTCACCAAAATTATTCAAATATGTATACATTTTCTATTTAAGTGAACTACCCTATAGTTACTCATCTTCCATTTCCATTTTTACTCTTCAAAATTAAAGGCTAAATTGTATTTGTAATGTAAATTATTATATTAATGTGAATTTTTATAGGAAGGCCATGAGACTTCCAAACACTTAAATATCAGTATTTTACTTTAAAAGAGAAAACAAAACACAGTACCACATAGATGATAGCAGATATTCTTGCTGTAGAAGAAAACGCCAGCAAAGATGTGAATTTCTAAAATAATCTTTACAATGCAATAACACATCTTAGATCCTTAATAAAATACCAATTAGGTAATGATTAGGATATTTTTCATACTTTTTCCTTCATATTTTCTTCACACCTTAACCACATGTATATCATATCTCTTTCGGCTACAATATCTGAAAACCTAACTTTCTATAGTTTTACCACAAAGTGCAAAAACATCTGTATTAAGATAGAAATTATTCCTTTACCAGAAGTTATTCCTTCTGGTAACATGACTCATTTTTACCTTGGCTTCCAAATAGTGACTCTGATATTAAAAAAAAGTTCAGTAATCAAGGGCACAATGTAAGTTAAATATATACTTTTATTATCATATATAGTTAATCTTTATCATATGCACAAATAACTCATAAATATGTGTATAAAATTAAACTGTCCACAATTTTTCTAAAAGCACAATTCATAAATGCAATAAAAATTGGATCGCCATTGGTACACCAAAAATTTTACTAAGTAGAAACTGGTCAATTACAATCATTTGGTAATTTACAATGCAGGCTATCACAATATCAAAATAAAATTTAAATTTGTGAAGAATATGCTATGCTTCCCAAACCAGTATTGTTTCTAACCAAATAAAGCATATTATTTATATTGGCATACTATACTCTTGCTTGATAAGGCAATATTTTTAACTCTAAGAGGGGTAGGCAAAAGATCAGTTTTTGGAAAATATAAAATTTATATAAAAAGTCTGAATAAAAAGCAGTGATTTAGTACAGATGATTCAACTTTTGGTAAGGTTTCTGTATCTATTTACCTTTTAAACATGGGGAGACATGAGTGCTGTGATAACATGTACAGTTTGGGGAAGGCAGATTTCCTAAAGGCTTTTCCCAACTGCAGAAGCTTGTCAAATTTTTATATAACATATAATTTTAACTGTCAAAGATTCTGTGAAAGTACATGGAAACAGATCCATGTAATTCTTTAAAAATAAGGTAGTTTAAGAAATTTGTTGTAAAGCATGGAAGAAAATAATAATGGGTAATGAAAACCCACAAACATTTGACTCATGAATATTTTCTTAAATAGATGCCAAGGGAGAAAAAGTCAAATATGCTTAAGAATAAAACATACTAAGGATAGGTAAAGATATACAAGTTTTAAACTATGAAAATCTTCTAATGCAAATGAATTCAATACTGAATGACTTTTCCACAGAGACAGTCCTCCATGCTTTCCTCCTTGCCATGGAAACGTTCTAATTAAATTGAAATTTAAATCATAACCAAATCCAAATGCCTAATAAAGTCCTTTCATTACTCTGTTGTTCTTCAATCATGTTTTATACTCCATCTGGCATTTTACAGATATTATTCAACTGGAATACTCATGTATCCAAATGTATATTTTAATTTTCTTCCTATTTAAGTGTCTTAAGTTTCTATAGGAAGCAGGTCCTATACAGGTTCTTACGGTTTCCACACTGGAAACTGAATGAAGCTGAGTGTAGGATGAACACGGCAATCAAAGAAAGTTGCTAAAGGAGCCTCTTGTTTAGAAAGAGATAAATTTGAGGACAAAAGGTAAAGTCAGACAGATGGCAGAAAGTCTCCAGACTGAAGGGTTTCAATGTCACCTTATAAACAATGGGTAGTTACTGGAAGTCCTTGAGCACAAAAGTAACAAGAGGAAAACAGTATTTTAGGAAAACACACTTTAAAACATAAGCTGTAGGAGAGAAAACCAAGGTTAAGGAAATAAGTAGTGCCCAACAGAAAAAACAAACAAACAAAAAACAGTGAAAGCAAGGGATCACAAAAAAAAAAAAAAAAAAAGGAAGACACCTAAGAGCCTCTAATGTTAATCAATTGAAAGTGGGAGAAGAATGAAGAACCTAAAATGCCTCTGATATTTCAAGGTTAAGTAACTTGGGACAACAGTGTATTCCCTGGGTAGAAAAAGAAAGCAGGAGCTAGTCTGAAGTAGAAAGTGACATGGGTAGCTTGACATGTTGCCTTGAGATTTCAGGAGACTCCAAATACAGAGAGAGGTTCAGAGAAAAATTAGCACTAGAAATAGATCTAAGAGATAAAAGCTGGAGTTACCAGTTCACCACTAACAGAACATAGAGACAAAGCGATGAAGGGTCAGATCTTACAATTTGGGACAGGAAAAAAGACCATGAAGGTATTCTCAGGATACAGTGGTCACTTCTTGGTATCTCTGGGGATTGGTTTCAGGACGCCCTGCACATACCAAAATCTGCATATACTCAAGTCCCACAGTTGGCCCTGAGAAACCTGCCTATACAAAAAGATGGTCCTCAATATACTCAGGTTTTGCACCCTACAAATACTGTATTTCAGATCCACATATAAGTGGACCCACACAGTTCAAACTTGTGTTGTTCAAGGGTCAACTGTATATGTAGGAAGGAGAAGTATCACTGTGGAAGTGATGGGAAGATAAAAGAAAATATAATTGTCACACAGAGGACAAAGAACATGAGAACGGAGAACAAACTCACATCTGACCAAAAGAGAATGGCTTATATTACACTGGTGGAAGAAGCAGCCTCAGAAATTACAGAATATTGACGGAAAAGTGGCTATTACAGAAGCAGGTATAAGGGGCTCCATGTCTGAGAATGGAAGATAGGATTGTAGTAATAAATAAAGGATCAGTGAAAATTTTCAAAAAAAAAAGGAACTAGTCATAAATTTTTTTCTTCAATTAAAAAGTTTTTAAAAATTTTACTTATGCATAAATATAAAACATATATACACACATATAGTTAAAGACTTTGTAGCTACCATTTTTAAGTGCAGATTTTAGTTATTCTTAGCATCTACAGATACATGTCCTAATGCATGATTCAGTAGCAGCTTTTCCTATCCTTTAAACATTTCATATTCTAAGGAGCAAAATTCTCAGAGATATCTTTATCAATCTCCTTTGGAAAATAACACCCCCCCCACACACACACACACGTACACACACACATAAATAACCTCTTTAAAGGCATCAACTTAAATAAACTCCTTAGTAACTGTTGAAACTTGCCAAGCCATACATTTTTTTTAGTAAGTCACTATCATGATGAAAAGAAATTCAGTGTTATGAAGTCTATTAAGCGGACTTAAGCTTTCATTTATTCCATTTGATGAAGTTAATTTGAGAGAAAAACAGACCATTTGTATGTTATGAAAACAACAGATACTCCTTTGGATTTCATAGATCACAATTAAGAGAGAACTATTAATTACAGAATGCTGATTAGAATGTATTTCATTTTTAAAGATACTCCTTGAGCCAGAGAAGGGCTGAAATGTTTTCTTTAAGGAATAGCAGAACCATGATAAAGACTATAATCCCAAGAAGGAAACAAATTACTTCAAAGTTAGCAAACATGATGTAAGAAAACAGAAAGTGGGATCATTCATCTGGGACATATCACTAGAGAAAGATAAAACTGAGAGGCTTTCTTTGTCTTAATTGTACATGAATAATATACTAATTATATTTGTACATTTCTAAACAGAAATATGGGCCACCAAACATTTTAACATACATTATCCCATTGATTCTCACAATAACATTGTCATATAGTAAAGGGATTCTTCTTTTCTTCTCCGTGAAGAAACCAGAACTGAAAAAGGTTAAGTAACTAGCTCAAGATCATAAAGCAAAGCTGAGTTTGAGAACCAGGTGGGTTCCCAAAACTTGGACTGGAGTTTCTTCAACCAAATAATGCTGACCATGAAAAGGAGTCAAGGAGAAGATCCAACTGGTAAAACAAACAATCTGGATGAGGTAAGAGTTCCAAAGTTGAGACACAAAAGTTGTTAAAGGAAACTAAACAGGTTTCTTGGATAAAATGCTAAGTTATAAGAAGCTCTGGCTAAAGAGCAGGAAGACATATCAGCTGACTTCTCAGACCACTATTATTATTAATTTTCTAGAATATTTTTATTTATTCTCTTTTCTTAAAGTCTCTTGTATTTCCTCTTCCTGATATGATTTTTAAATGACAACTCCAAAAGAAAGGATAAATAAAGAAAAACTGGCAACTCCTGGAACCTAAATATAAGCACTGTTGGCATGTTCAGGGCTATCAGCTTCCTTTAGCCAAATTCAGTCTCATTCCTAACACAGTTAAGTATGCTTTGTAAGGGTTTTATTAACTTGCCTCACACATTTAAAAAAGAAAAACAAATAAACAGTCTCATTTCCCAACACCTTTCCCTTACTAAAAAAAAAAACAGTATAGGATAGCCAGGTAGTTTGAAAAAGCATCATATTAAAACATAACTGTTATTGTAAAAATAAAAAATAAACATGACAAATCAGTCACAAGGCAGGAAGGCAGTAGGTCATATTACAACAAAAAGTCCATGGATGAAGTATCTGCTTAATACTCATACACACACACAGAAACACTCCTAGTTAGAAAAAGTTTCTTTAATTTAGTTTAACTAAAATCTCATCAAGGTAGAATGCACTTTTGCAAAGCTCCAAGAATCCTATTACATAGTTGCTAATTAACTTTAGTTCCTTATTTATACACTTTTTACTTACTGATATAAAAGGAAAAAAATCCTAGAATTATTTTAAACAGAACATTATATAATTAAAGTAGGAACT